CAAGGCTCTGCCCAGGATGCACTTCCAGAAAGTCGGGCTCTGGCTTCTTGTTAATGAAATGCCAGCTGCGCCCGGGCCTCTCTGTGGCCGGGGAGCCCTTGTGCAATAGGGGATTTGTTTTGCAGATGACAAGATTTTCCACCCTGGAAAGATGGAATGATAAATGCGAGGAGCTGGCCGGGCCCCCCACCCCTCAGGGGAGGTCGTTAATGTGAGCTTCAGTGTTTGGCAAATGTGCTCTTTGCAGCCTTCTGCTCCTCGGGCCTCCCCGCCGCTCCCACTGACGCAGGCCCCGGAGCCAGGAGACCTCAGTGTCAGGCCACTTGGGGGAAGGCTGTTTCCCAAAGCGGAGGAAGGCAGGTGACGGTGCACCAGCTGGTGGCCTGTCTTTGTAAATAAAGTTTTATTGGCAACACAGCCACATTTATTGGTATTGCTTGCGGCTGCTTTGGCTCCAGAGTTGAGTAATTACCATCTGGCCATTCACCATGAAGTGTAAATATTTACTATTGGGACTTTTATTTCTTTATTTTTATTGTTAATCCTCACCTGAGGATATATTTTCCCATTGATTTTTAGGGAGGGTGGAAGAGAGAGGGAAAGACAGAGAGAAACATCAATGTGAGAGAAACACGTGAATTGGTTGCCTCCAGCACGAGCCCTGACCAGGGCCTGGGCCGAGGAGGAACCTGCAGATGGATCCTCCCTTCCCCCAACTGGTGGGCGGGGTATGACGTAACCTGCAGCCCAGAAATACCTGAGTGACTAACCATGTACCTTATATGGACTAGACATTGAACCGCCAACCCACATCTGCCAAATACCCTCAGCCCTTGTTCCTATATGGACCATACATTAAGCCACCCATCAGCGCACGCCGAGTACACTAAGCCCCCATTCCTTCCCATTCCGCCCCTCAAAAGGCGTGCTCACCTCTGCACGTGCTGCTGTCCTCCCCTTGCGAGACAGCCCGGCAGGTCTCTTTCCCCTAATAAAGCCTGTAGTCCTGGTTTTCGGCTCCCGACTGGTATCTCACCTGTAACTGTGGTACATGCCCTTGACCGGAATTGAACCTGGGACCCTTTGGTCTGCAGGCTGACGCTCTAGCCTCTGAGCCAGATCAACCAGGGCTATTGGGCCTTTTAAGGAAACGTTTGCCAAGCCCTGCTCTGAGGGAACAGAGCCTGCTTCGTGCCTGGGAGGCTGGCGTCACGTCTTAGTTTTAGGGACAGGGTATCAGGGACTGGAAGAGACCAGAGTAATGGATCAGCAGGGAGAATATATCCGGGGAGAGTGAGGCAGGAAAAGGGCTGGGGCCTGAAGGGAGGCAGGCCTGAGCTAGCAGTTTTGCAGACTGATCTGTGCAGCAGGTCAAGGTCAGGAAACCTCCAGGTGGCCGAACCCCCCCCCCCCCCCGTTGTCCCCACCCTCGGTGGAAAGGCAGGAAGGGGGCGGTTCCCGGTGCAGACAGGAGGCTCCGGAGTTGAGCAGCTCCTGCCCTGTGTGCGTTGGTGAAGCCGGCGCCTGTGGAGCCCACTCTGGTGCCAGGGCCCCACCTGGGCGCTCGGAGCTCAGGAGGCTCTGAGGGTGCATGTGGGGTGGGGCAGGGAGACCAACCACATGGCCATCAGCCAACGAACAGGATCAGATCACAGAGAGTGGGGAGGAAAGAGAACCTTGTTATGGGCCCGGGAAGGCTTTTTGGGGAGGTGGGAGCCCCGAGGATGCGAGGAACTGGGGAGACCCTGTGAGTAGAGGGAACAGCTAACACAAGATCCTAAGGCAGAAATGTGTGTGGGGAACATCAGGGGTTGAAAAAAAGGTCAGGCTGCCCGGCCAGCCTGCCTCAGTGGTTGAGCATCGACCTATGAACCAGGGGGTCATGGTTCGATTCCTGGTCAGGACACAGGCCCGGGTTGCGGGCTCACTCCCCAGAGTGGGGCGGGCAGGAGGCAGCTGATCCACGATTCTCTCTAATCATTGATGTTTCTCTCTCTCTCCCCCTCTCTGAAATCAATAAAAAAATGTATTTTTTAAAAGGCTGGCTTGTGAGCCAGGCAGTGACCAGGTGGAAA